GAACGAATATAAACGTTGAAAGAGCTTTAATGTAGGTTTGACCTCGTTTTCATAACTTATGGAGCTTAGCTAGTCTTGTGACGTGCCATAGTATTCGTGATTTCCAGAATCAGAGTATTTACTTGGTGCATTAACAGACATTTACCTGGCATCTTCAATGAGGGGCACGATCGCTAGTACAGAGTTAGAACTTATCAGTGACAAATGAAGATAATCCCCACCATCAATTATCAGTTCAACCTAATTGGCATCACTTCGGTAACTTCAGAACGATTCCAGGTTTGATTCCCTTCATGGCAATCGCCTTTTCTTGATTTCCCTTTGTCTCTGATTATCTTCTCCTTGGTGATGTCTCTTCCTGTTTTTGCATAGTTGCGCTTTGTCCAAACGTCTTCCTTTTGCTGTTCTCACTGAATTTCAGTCTGACCGAGTGAAATTCTCGCTGACTCTTCCATCTTCCAATCTACTGCTCATCACGTTTCTTTGAAAAATAATGTCCAGGTCCTCAGCAATCTTCCGTTTTATAGTGAGAAACCTGACTATTTTTTATACAAATGATTTAATCATGGACCATAATAAGATATAAACCGCAAATTGAAATATGTGAATGTCGCACCATATTAACAGTAAGTTAAACGTCAACTAGCACTATTACGAGTTATGGCTCTTCAGCCTCTTGCCAGAAATCCATGTGGTTCATAAAAATGAGATGCAATTTCACTTTCCTCATCCTCCTAATAACGGCCTAATTTAGGAAGTCTCTTGTGAGGAAAATCGTGCCACTTATGTAATGCCGTACCAAAGCAATCGGGACTAGTCTCTCGAACAACTTGCTTCGCAAATAATTTTGGTAGAAGATATAAAATCTAAAGATAATTCCCATTTGGGGGCCTAGTTAGCATGAAAATAGTGCGGTAGGAATATCGATTAAAAATTCTCAATGAAATAAACTGCCTTAGTCCATAAATACATAAATGAATTCACAACAAAATGCAAGAAGGTAATTAAAGGATATCAGAAGTAGATAAATAAGAAGCAATCAGCACATATAAATAACAATAATCACCTTTTCTGCATAATCCCGAGCAGCATTTATCTTCACTAAACAATCTTTACCTAAAGAGCCAACTTGACCTGGAGCAGTTGCCATTCGCCTCGATGCCGATAAATTAGCAGAAGAGGACCCACTGCTTCCACCAGCTGGCTGTCGACGCAAAGAGTTATTAGGCCCAAATGTAGCACAAGTCGCTCCGGAGCCTGGAACCGAGGCTCCATGACCTGGAGAAGAGTTGTTAATCAATGTTCGTTGTCGATGACGTCGTCCACTTCCGAATCCGAACCCGGTACCACTGCCGCCAACAAACCCCAATCCGGTGTTGTTTTGGTTAGTGGTAGCTACTGAGGCATGATTGGAGACGGCAGCAGAAGAGACAAGACGAAGGATATTGCCAGCAGCAGCAGTTTGGACGGAATCCGATTGAGCAGAAAGCAAAGAATCATGGCCAACTTGGCTGCCCGCAGCTTGCATGTAGGCCTCACGAGCTGCGTCCTTAGCGGCATTTTCAATTGCTGGACTAAGGCAAAGCAAACGATGAGCTAGATAGCGAGCCCATACGAGAGCATCGTGTGGGAAACCGTGACTGGCTAGAGCTTGACAGCGAGTAAATCCCAGCTAAAAACAAGTATAAAAATACATTTAATTTGGAATGAAATCGGAATCTTGTAAC